CCATGGTAATGTAGAACTTTACGTTTTTGTTATTATTTTTTTATAACATGTATGATAGATTTGTTTATGCCGATACTTTTACAATTCAGGTGGACTCAGGTGAATTTTTACTGTGGTGTAATCCTTGGTGCATGGATTTTTGCACCATTAGCATATTACTATAATGTCTTGTAAGTAATTATTAAAATATTTCGTTACATATATATGAATTTTTCAAAAATTAATTTAAAAAAGTTTTATTTAGTGATGCCCAAAAATTTCCATTCCTTGCTACTTATTCATTGGACAAAGATGGTCTAAGGTAAGTAATTATCTACTTATTCGTTGTTATTGTTTTTCCTTAAGAGGATGCCCTCGAGCACTTTCGTCGTTATTTAATATATATATATATTTTTTTTTTTAGATATAACCAAACTTCAATCATAGATAAATCAACTGGATCTCTCAACATTACTGCTTATGAGAATTATAGTCCAGTGTATCTATCCGTTACATTCGCCCTTTCTTATCTTTACTCTTTTATCGCTCTTACTGCGTTAGTAAGTCACGTGGCCTTGTTTTATGGTAAAGAAATTTGGGAACGATTCAATGCTAGTCGTGGAGAAGAGCAAGAGGATATTCATTGCAAGTTGATGAATAATTATCCAGGTTTATTGATATTAATATTAAAATCTTTTTTTTTTTTTCTATTATCAATTTCGAGAATGGGCCAAAGATTGATGTATTATATACATTTATATATATATATATATACGTATTTTTTAATAGAAATACCAAATACTTGGTACGCATTAATTTTCATTATTACGTTAACAATTGCAATGATTCTCTGCTATACAACCGATGCAAATTTACCTTGGTGGGGATTATTAATGGCGATTTCTTTAGCCATAGGCATGGTACTTCCCATAGGTGCGTGTAAAAGATAATTATATATATATATATATAGTCTTATATCTAGGTACATGATATAAAATACGTTCTAAATTTCTGATAGGCGTTATTCAAGCTATCTCAAATAATCAGATTGGTTTAAATGTGCTAACCGAAATGGTGTGTGGTTATGTTTTACCTGGTCGACCGATTGCCAATGTATATTTTAAATGTTATGGATATATGGCAATGTATCAATGTTTGCTACTTGTTTCGGATTTGAAGTTGGGTATGTGATTTTCTAAAATTTATTAAATTTTATTAAATTTATTAAATTTATTAAATTTATTAAATTTATTAAATTGTTTTAATTAAACTTTATTTATATAACAATATTTTTCATTATGAAAAGGTCATTATATGAAAATCCCTCCAAAGAGTATGTTCACAGCCCAATTATGGGGTACAATTCTTGGTGGATTGGTAAATTATTGGGTACTGGATCTCATAATTGAAACAAAAAGGCCTTTTCTTGATGGCACATTGACTGATCCAACTGGTCAAGTACGTCTACGTATTTTAATTATCTTTTTGATTAATCTCAAAAAATTTATTCTTAATAATTTTTGCATAGTGGACAGGATATGCATCCCAAATATTCAACACTGCATCTATAGTATGGGGATTGATTGGACCTGCAAGGACTTTTGGAGTATGTCAATTTAAACAAAGAAACTCTTTCTTTTTTTTTATTTACATGTCAATTTAATACTTCTTTATTTTCAACAGCACGATTCAATGTACAACATACTCCTTTGGGGTTTTCTTATTGGTGTTTTTGTGCCAATACCATTTTATCTACTTCATCGAAAATTCCCAAAGGCTAGATTTGATCTAGTGAATATACCATTAATATGCAGTGGATTAAGTGTACTTCCCGGGACTTATACAAATTTTATAATAACTGGATTTATGGCTAGTTTTTTAAGTCAGTATTACGCGTATCGGTACAAGACTCGGTAAGCTTAAGATCGACTACATTTTGTCACATACATAGTTTGGAAAATAATTAATAATAACAATATATAATATCTATTTTTTCTTTA